CTCTTCTCTACAAGTATAAAAAAAGCCTTTCCCCTCCAACTTAGAAGAAGGGTTTTTTGAGAGATTTTTTATGGAAAAATGGAGATGTTGTTTTGAGATAAAAAAAACTTGGAGACAATTTTTTACACCAAAGAACAATTTTCCTATCTTTTGCCAATCCCTTCTTTGGTTCTTGTTAGAGAGAGTGCAACCATTATCAAGTTCGCCAAAGCTAACAGAAGGTGCTTCTGCGTTAGCCTGATCTAAACTGTTGTATCTTGGGAGACAGAGACAGAAGTCGACGTTCCTCCAGCACCCATGGTAAGACGGCTAATCTGTTTTAAGGACACTGTGATATCACACAAGCTTCGGTTTGCTTCCTTTTACTAGTTTTATTTTATTATGAATTTCTGTAAATTCTAGCATGTTCTTGTTCTGAAATTCAAAGTGATTGTTTAACATGAATGTATTTATTTTATTTAAGTACACAATTTATGCAACATGGCTAACCACAGCCTTAGGCATTAGCATGATCTGATTATACAACAAAGCCCCCAAGATGACCCAAACAACCTGCAAAAATTAATGCTAGAAGGATGGCCAAAGAAAGACCGGTGTCTTTTATCTGGTTCTTATTTCCTGGTAGTATCTAGGCATTTCTTTTTTCCTCCTCCCTTCTTCGAAAATTTTATTACCGGAGGGACTGAAGCCTAAGTTGCATCATGCCTCAGCCCTCATGATAATAAAAGAGAGATTTCACTGTCATAATTTTTCAAGAACTACACCAATCGGGATCAGGGTGATTGAATCATGCTAATGATCAACAATCCGCCTTTTTTTTTATTTTTTATATATTTATATATCAGCCTCCTGGTTGGAGAGAAAAGTCATAGAAATTAACTGACAGAATATCCCATAAGTTATTATCATCACAACAAATAAAGAGCATGAAGATAGGTTTCCTTGGAAAGGAAAAGAAAAGTTTTGTGGATGTTTTGAGTTTGAGCAAAGATTGACAGAACACACAAAGAATCAATCTTACACAAGTACCATTCATAGAATGCCTTAAAATTAGTTAATATGTATCTCCCGAACTTTGTAAGCATAACATCGATTATCAAATTTTCGAGTTGTACCATTCATAGAATGCCTTTGCATGCACAATTATCACAGATAGTATTTTAACCATGAGCATAATAAACATGATTTTCTATTCTAGTTTCCTATAGAGACCAAGTTATCTAAGCCCATATCAATATATGATAGTCTAGGTAGACACTTACAAGTTCCATTATATAGTAAGTGCTAGAAGTGCGAGAAAATTATATACCTTTTCGCACTACATAGACAAAAGGCTTTACAGAAAGAATGTGTTCTTTATAACAAAAAATAAAAAAAAGAGAGTTGAAGCTCACATCAAATGTGTTTACAAAGGTGTCACAACACAACTAGTGTATGTTTTATAAAAAAAAATGTGGTTGTGTATGTGTGCGTGCAGAATAGTTTCATCGATCTGTAATGGTCTTCTAAATCAAATAAGCATACAAATTGCACCTTGAAAGAAAATAAAAAAACATAATCAAATCTTTGTTCAAATGGAAAGGGATTTGCTTTTTTCAAAGGGAATGAGATTGTTCAAAAATTGTCCAAACTTTTTTAGCCATTGTTGCAAAATAGATTTTAATATTTTAACCAACAGTTTTGAACCTTGATCTTTTACCTCAAAAATCCTATGTAACTCCTTTAAGACCACGATTGTGATCTATCAAATTGAATGAAATGATTTAAGATAGAACTTTTTCTGCTATAAGACTAAAATAGAACATAAAATTTAAAATTTTGTTTTATCTTCAGCCAAACAGGGTTAAGAAGTCAAACTTGTGAAACTGTATAACATTTATTATTATCATGAGACCTAAAAATCACTGAAGTTCTAAATTGACACCTTGACCTCGTGAACCAAGAACTTCTTAGTGAAATATTGACCCTTTGAATTTCCTAAATTTCAGTTCACTACGTGTCACCACGAAACATTATTTATCGAAAAGCACATGTATCAAATGTATCATACTCATTCAAGATTCTTCCAAAATAGAGCAATCAAATCAAACAAAAGTAAAAGAACCAATAATCACCAAACACCCAATAACTAACAGACCTAAAATATTATAAATTTGTTCAAATATTTATGAGTAATCAAACAAATGAAATAAAGAAAAACGTTATGTGAGAAAAAACAATTTATACCTTTGATTATATGAAAAACCCAACAACTGATGACATGTAGTAACAAAGATGTCAAAAATTGTGTATCTACAATACCCAAACAATTTTTGTAAGTAATATGAAATTACGTCATGTGTTGTTAAATTAACACAATAAATAACCCAAAATAAACATATTGTGTTAAACAAAAGTACCAATCAAAGCTACAAGGTCAAGCAATTTTAAACCCATGTTTCAAATTCCCCCACCGAATGTAATAAAAAACTTCTTGTAGCTTATGGCCCTGTTTGGTAGAGCTGTGGGAAAGTGCTTATAGCTTATGCCTAAACAACTTATAACTTATAACTTTCAGCTTAAGCTGATTTTCAGCTTATTCTTAAAGCATCTCCTGCTCCACTCAAAGAATAAGCTGTTTTCTGACTTCCACAAAGCTATAAGCTATAAGCTATAAGCTAAACCAAACACATCAAAATAGCTTAAATTAAGCTGAAAGCTGAAATAAGCTGAAATTAAGCTGTACCAAACAGGGCCTATATAAATCCATTACACTTCTGGAGAAATTAAACAGATGATTGTGTGATTTTTTACTAGGAAAGCATCAAACACTAAGAATAGTCTATACAAGAACTTGGTCTCTTCTTTTCATTCACATTCTACCGTATGTAGTGTTTGGTTATGGCTCATATTTTTTTCTTCAGTTATGATTCATATTTAGTTATGACATTTGTGGTAATCCACAACACAAATATTATAACATACATATGGTACACACCCCAAAAGGGTGTAGTAGTATGACCCATACATACCACACATAAACCCATATAAACTCCAGTTTGGAATGAATCAAGAAATCGAAGACCCCAAAAATAGAAGAGCAAGAATTTTTTAAAGGCAGTACTTTGTTTCAAGTATCTTCATCCTCTTGTAGAAAAATCAATAAACAACAACAATTATTTAATATAATTTTCAAGAAGAACATAGACTAATTTTAGTCCAAAAAAGCCTTCAAGGGTATGTACAAATTGAATAGCAAAAGGAATCAATCAAGAATAGATAAAAAAAAAGTCAACTCTGCAAATGCAATGTGTTTAATCAATAACGGCTTGACTGATAGGCCATTAAGACATTTGTCGAAGGCCTCAAGCATTGAAGAGGTCCCAAATATTTATTTATTTTAATATGCTATATAATTACTTTTCTTATTTACTATTAGCTTTTACCTTTTTCTAGTAAAGGATAAAAATGCAAAGAGTCCTCATGCAAAATGATTAGAAAATTGAGTTTCTCTTTTGTCTCTCTAACTTTCTCTATTATCCTATTCAATTGTGGAAAGTTTATGTAACGCCCCGAAAATTGGGCATGATATATCTATTTATGCAACAAAACCCACCTGATAGACAAACACATATATATAGCTAACTAATCTATACGCCTATTTTCATTAAATCCCAAATGCCAAACAAATAATAAGTTCCCTACAGGCTTACAAATTTATCCAAGAACATTCTTGGTTACACAAAATGGAGTTTCAACTCAACACAAATACAGCCCTGGGCATACATTCAATAAATAACAATAAAACAAAACTGAAGCCTTAGCTCTGAGCCCTCCTAAGTCAATGCTTTGGCGGAGGCATAGCACCTGCACCTGAAATGATTTCCCTTATAGGGTGAGCCACAGCCTAGTAGAGACATATTACACAACATATGAACAATGACAAGACTAAAGAGGAGTATGCTCATGCCATGCACATGATAAAACAGTTTATCTCTCTTTTTTTAAAGCATGCAATACTGAGATACAACAAAAAATATAAAATCATTTCCATTTTAAACCATATCTGTTATATGAATACGGGCCCTGTGAATCTTTAGGTGAGTGTCTACAAGTAGGCCCAAATGCACTACCACTGTCATTTTTACCAGTAAACTGGAAGACACGACACCTAACCACGCGGTTCTACACCCCTTACCCAGATTCACTAAGTATTCATCTTTTTGTAAGTAGATACATTTCCCAACATTTCTCAAAAATAGATATATTTCCAATGAAATGAATGTAATGCAATGTCCAATGCAACAAATGAGGAATGTGGTTCAATTTACCTAAGTCTCATGCATTTCTACAACAATCATGGCTATCATCTACCGATAGCCCAAACAATATTTCTAAACAGATATTTAAACAATTGAATTTCAAAAAAATTCCGATAAGTATAATCTATTCCATATCTCATCAAATATAAACAACTACACTAGTTTTCATATCACAATCACGTCTGGTAACCTCTCAAGGTCCATTTCTAACCGTGTCGGTTTTATTCCAACAGATACATTAAGCAAAATAATATCGTTAATGCCCAAGTTATTTTCTTTCCAAACTCATTCCCCAAGCATTATTCAACTATGACATCCTATTTTGATCAAAAGCCTCAAAAATTTAATGTAATTCCTTTGTTTTGTTTAAAAATGCTCTTTTGGTCACAAATCGGTAAAAATTTCAAAACCAATCAAGCCGAAGTCCATTTTTGTTCAAATTTAAAATATAGCTCTTTCATAACCTTACAAACATATTCCAAGTTTACATTTTCGCAATTTGGGCATCAACTCTTTATTTTTCTCAAAATTTCCATTTTAAGCAAATAAATCACGAATTTTTCAAAAATTCTAATTAAATTATGTATAACTCTAAACTCTATATAATCAAGTAAAAGTGCATAAAGAAGTATAGGAAAAATCTCTACCTCAAGTTAGAAGAGGAAACAAGGAAAAATCTAAATTTTCGATTTTGACGGATTTTGATCTCCATCGATCAAAATGTTACTCTCACTAAACTCTTCACTTTGATCTTAAGAACTATGGTCTAAAACCTAATAGATTTTGGTGGATCATAGCTGTGAACTATGTCAATGGGTATGAGAAAGGTGTCAAAGTTTGATGAATTCAGCATCAGAGACAACAGAGATCTCTAGTTGACTATGTTCATCATCATCATCATCATCATCTTCATCTCCCATTGGAGTTGGCAAGTTTAGATCTATCAAACTGTCTCCAAATTTACTAGCAGACTTTGATGAACTCAACAAGTGTGGTCTCTTGTGACCACCAAGTGCTTGACCTGAACCAAACACTTTGAAACAAATTGGACACTCATGAACCTTCTGATTCTGATCCATATTGCCTGCAAAGCAGCCCTTGACTACCTTAGTGTGACTCGTTCTGTGTCCATCCAGTGCCTGAAACGATCCGAACTCTTTCTTGCAAGTTTCACACTGGTATTTCCTCTGACTCGATGGTCTCAACTTGCCCGAGTCATCCGAACTCCAAGTGTCCTTCGAAAGCATCATCAAACACGGAGCAACATCTTCCTCAGTGGATGTATCCGAGACCGAACTCACCTGTTCCAACTCGGTCACCGACTCAGTCAAACTGGTTTTTCAACTTGGGACACTTCCGAGTCCGCTTGGATTGCCGGCGAGTTGGGTTTCTGGATGACTCAGTCTCGCTCTCTCTATCTTGAACTACCGACCCTCCATCGAGAAACTCGGGATCTAGTAAACTGAAACTCCTTTTGGGGCTCCCTCTCAACCCATAAACCAGAGCTTTCTCTTCACTCGCCTCTCTCACTTGTTCTTCTTCTAAAGAAGAAGACAGAGATGAAGCTGACTCAGTAGGCTCACTGAGTTGTTGTGGCTTTTGGGTCTTTTAAAACATATGTGTCCTGATGCTCATGGATAATGAGAAAAAAAAAAGGTTGTAACTAAGAAGAGAGAGAAGGAGATATATTAATATTCAAACCCCTCCTCCTACTCATCATACCCCACGAGAGAGAGAGAGAGACAAGAGAGTGCATTATCACTACAACAAAAAGCACTTTTGGCGACCAAAATTGCATTTTTCGTCGTTGAAAGTAGTAGAATTGGCGACTAAAATGGAATTAGTCGCCAAAATTGATCATTTTTGCCGACTAAAAGAGTTTAGTCGCCAAATATAAGGGTATTAGCGACTAAAAGGCAGTTTAGTCACCGAATGTAAGGGTTTTAGTGACTAAAGGTTGTTTAGTAGCCAAAAGTCACAGTTTTTGGCGACTAAAAATGATTTAGTAGCCAAAAGTGATGGTTTTGGCGACTAAACGGCAGTTTGGTTGCTGATTATAGGTGTTTTGCCGACTAAAAACAGTTTAGTTGCTGAAAGTGAAGCTTTTTGGCTACAAAAAAAAAATAGTAGCTAAAGGTCAAGAATTGCCGACTAAAATGCAGTTTAGTCGCCAAAAGTGCTATCCTTAGGCATGATTTAATTCTTTTAGCGACAGAAAACAAATTAGTAGCCAAAAAATAGAGAATTGGCGACTAAAATTCAGATTTAGTCGCCAAAAGTACTATCCTATTTTTTTAGTAAATAATTTATTTTTTACATAAAATATGTTAAATAAAAATAATTATTTTTATATATATAATTTTGTGTAATTTTGTGTCAATATAGTATATAAATAATAAATGTTGCATTAATATTCATGTGATATTGTAGTGGCGTAGTGGGGAGAAAGTGTTGATAAAGGTTGACAATGTTGGGACGCTGCGGGTTTGAAACTTGGGACTAGCAGAGGCAAATTTTTATTTTAATTTTAATTTTAATTTTTTATTTTATTTATTTATTTTTTCTGAAAAATGATTTTGGCGACTAAAGTCTGTGGTCACCGAAAGGTATACTTTTTGGCGACGAAAATTTAGTTGGCAAATGTTTAAATAATAAATAGAAAAAATTAGTATTGGCGACAAATTCTTTCGTCGCTGAAGACCTGTATATTGCTGACTCACAGTTTTTTAGTCGCCAAAGGTATTCGCGACCATGTATTCGCGACAAAACCGGCAACTAAAAGTTTTTGTTGGGGATAGTGAAAATTCGACATTTGGCGACTAAAAAAGGACTTTTGGCGACTAAAAATTTAGTCGCCAAAGGTGTTTTTTCTTGTAGTGATTTTCTCTTTAATCATTTTCTTCCACCGAAAGTGAGCAACCCTCAAATAAATTTTCGCCACCACATTTTTATATTTTTATTTGGGTCTTTACAGTTTAACTTGTAAAAGCCTACTTGTCTAATTTGTCTCTATCCTCTTACTGCAACAATAATGCACCATTAAAAAATTCAAAATTCACTTTTTCTCTCTTTTGTAGATGTGAAAATAATTCAGGTAAAGAAACAAGCAACAAGGAACAGTCCGAAGATCTCAATATACAGTGATAGATACAGGGCAGACCCAATTCTCTCCATTTTCAATGCAGCAACTATTCAATCTCTAACTTTGGTGATTTGGCCATTTGAAGGTAAGTAAATACACCAATTAGCTTATATTATTTTACTATAAATTTTCTTTTACACATTACTCAGTCAAAATAAGTGTTTGTTTTATTTGTCTAGATTTTTTATTTTACATGTATCTGATAAAAAATTGGATATGCCAAACTTTAAAAAATATATATTACTAAAACTTAACAAAGTAATTTTGTAACTTACAAGCAAAGAATTTTATTTTTCTATATAAAAATTTACAATGTAAAAATAAAAATAAAAACCTCGTTTAGATTTTTCACTTTGGGTACAAAAATAAGCAAAAAAAGAAAAAAGAAAAAAAAAATAGGGGATATACAATGACTGAACAAAGTGAAAGCAATTAAAAAAATGTGAATATGACTGAGAACAGATGTTAATTTTGAATGAGAACAAATATCTGATATTCATTCTTTAGGGTTAGGGTTTTGAAATCAAAGCTCTAATGGCACAACTACCTTTGGTGGCCATAGATATTAATTTTGATTGAGAAAAAATTTAATAATAGATATTCAATAAGGGTTAGGGTTTTGAAATCAAAGCACCAATGGCACATTTAAATGAAGCTTAAAGTTAGCAACAAACCTAAACTACGAAAAAGAGTTCTCAGAAAGATTCGATTAGTCTGGAGGAGAAAGGAAAAGACGACGACTAGGTCTTTGCTCACAAACCTGTGGTAGAGATGTCCAGAGAGTGAGAGCTTGTGAAGAAGATATCGACATGGCTGAAGCCTAGATCGCCGATGAGGCTGGTGGTCCTCGGAAGCTTCGGCTATGGTAGAAGAGAAGAGAGAGGAAAAGAGCCAAGAGGGCCAAGCTGTTCTACCACCACGACTGATTCAATTTTGTCCCCTCATTGGTAACCAGCTACACCGGTTGCCAATTAAGAATTAAATTATTTAAATAATTTAGTTTTCATTTGCTTATGAAATCGTATGGAATAAATGCATAACTGAATATAGCTATGTTACGAATTAATATGATACTGATTAGGTAAATTCTTGGTGCCTCAAACTGAGTTGTCTCGAATGGCTTGAATTTATGTTCACCGGTCGACCGGCCGGCCAGACGGCTGATCGAACGGCCGGGTAAAGCACTTGTCTACCGCAGTTGTCACCTTGTCGACCACGACTATCAGTCTTTTTATCGGACGATCGACAAAACAAAATTCGAGCCATTCAAAGCAAGATCAAATTCGAGGTATGTAACATTACTCTACTGATTATAAGTAATATGATATTGGTTATGATATAAAAGTCAAAACACTTGACTTCTTTGCCTCTATTTTATTTTTATTTTTAATTATTTTTTAGTATTTAAAACACACACACACACAAAAATAAATAAAAAATAATAAAATAAAACTAATCAATACACAATGATAGTACATAGATGAAACATTATCCAATAACTCAATTGGGATGGCATCAAGACATGACTGCACGTGTTAAAGTAAACCCAAATTCATATAATGGGGTGTTTTGGGAAGGGGAAAAAAAAGGTAGCTTTTAACTTTTTACCTTTTTGGGTCATATCACTTCTCACATTTTTTACCTACAAAAAAACAAAATATACTAAAAAAGTAAAAAAGTCAACTTTTTACCAACTTTCCAAAATACCAGAATATTCACAAATAACATAAGTACAACTTATTTCATTCTTGCAATAAACTCTTGCATTCACATCCCTCATACCATATGAGCATCAAGAAGTCTATACCCTTCTCTCTCTCTCTATATATATATATATATACATACATACATGTATGTATGTATATGTAGTAAGTAATAAACCTTTTTATTCAGCCCTCTTCATGCCAATGAACTAGTGCTCAAAGCATAACAAGGAACATAAACATCATAATCGAAACCACTCGCATGAAGGGATGTTAAGTGTATGCAGTAACCTCCAGAAGTAACCCCGACACCAAATCGGCAAGACCAAGCTCAAAATAAGGAGCACCAAGCCAAAGCAAGATCATAGTTGTAGACACCCCATTTTTGATCGCCTTTAAGACTTGGGCGCTATTAATTGTTTATTTGGTGATGAAAGTTGTGCAGTGCAAAGGTTCGATTTCTTCGACAAGAGGAGAGTCAAATCCCAACCTTACATCCCATTTTGGACCAAAACTATTTTGAATGGTTTTTAGACCTTAAAACCCTATCTTTCAAAATATTTTGAAACAAAGTTCTTACGATATTCCGAGGCTCGTATTTCGTTAAACGTTGCGTTTTTTCGGTAAATCGAGCAAGGACAAACTAGAGATGAATGGGAGAGAGATGAAGTTTTTTTGAAAAATCATTCAAAACACCTTATCTAGGGGTTTGAGGTTGAATAAAATGGGAGAAGAGAGAAGAAACCAAGTTGGAGAAGAAGTTGGGCATGAATTCGGATAGGATTGAAACTAAGTGGTCTTCACTAAAAGAGGAATAACGTTTTTCACACTTGGAATTTTGAAGTGAGGCTACCACCATTGGAAAGAAGACTTCTAGGGCTTCATTTTAGGCTCAAGAATGATCTACGAAGGTGTCTAGACGAAGGAGATATTCCCATTTGAAGTTGGGCCCCAAAAGCAGATTTTTCTAGCCAACCAGAGGTGGAAGTTTCTGGCCCTGAATGGGATTTTCTGGCCATGTGCCTGCCATGAATGGCCAATGCCGGCCCCCTTCCATCCAAGAGTGTTTCTTGCCAGCCAACAATGATCAAGTGCCGGCCATCAATGAAGCAGTGCCGGCCATTGATGAGAAAAAATAGTTTTTTGCAGATATTTTACCTCCAGCTGTTTCTGCAATGTGCCAGCTGTCTCTAGATCAGATATTTTCAACCAAGCTCTTGTTTTTGCTATATATGAAGGCCATATCTATCATTTTGGGAGGTTGGAAAGTTTGGGAGCCTCTCTCTCTAAAATCCCTCTCTCTCTACAGAATTTTGTGAGCAAAATCTCTATCTTTCTCTCTAGAATCCACTCTCTCTTGCCCTTTTGTGCATAGAAGTAGAGAAACACTTCTAGTTTGCCTAGACATCCTTCATCAAAGTTTCACATCTTTGGGCTGAGGTCTCTTGAAACCTATTTTGGGCTGCAAATGGCTGGTTTTTGGCTCATATAGTTGCTGTTTTGCTGCTGTGCTTTAAGGGTAAGAGTTTACCCTTTTTAAACTTATTTTTGCATACTTGTTTGGCCACCTTTGCATTTTGTTTTGGCCTAGTTGTCAACTACAAAAACCTCTATTTTTAAATGTTAAAAATGGTAGTTTGAGGCCCTTTTAGAGTTAGGGATGGTCCATTCTCTTTTGTAGCTTATTTGCTAAGCTTTGTGCTACCTTTCAAGGCCTTTCAAATAATCTTTTCTTGGCCTTTTAACCACTAAAATCCAGAGGAATTTCAGTGGTAGAAAGTTG